TACGACGGTCCGCCTATTTTTGATGAGGAGCCTCCGATGACGGAGATACATATTTGTGGCGATGTGGGACTTTCTGAAGGTACTGGAATCCCTAGGGTCATATTGATTAATGTAATTGGTGAGCTGGTGGAAGGAAAAACTACATTAGTGATGTCAAATGTGGTTAAGCAGGCTCCACCAAAGGTAATAACAAATTTAAAGATATTTGGTGAATTGAAGGAGGGAAGTATTGTCACGGGAGGAACTGAAGCTTCTAGCATAGTTCAGTGGTTCAATACCAGTTCGTCTATTTTTTTACGGTAAAAATGGTATTGAATTATTAAGTACATCCAAAATTGCCAAGGCATTTCTTATACCTCTGGGCGCAGTTGGCAATTATATAATTGCATCAATGACCCCGGATGGTTTTTCGCAGCCGAGGCCGGGTCTCAAACGCTGTTCGAACATTTTTCGACTGTTTGTACCAACGTCTTCCAACAACGGAATGTTTGGTCGTACGGCTGTTGTCATATCTCTCTCTCTTGAAAATCAAGAGAGTGTTGAACTGGTTGGGCGACATTCAACCTTCGTGTTCGACCGGGGAAAACAACGGTGGTTGCCTACCATGGGTTCGAACCACACGCCGGCCACGGGATCGCGTCGGCTTCGAGGGCGAATCCTTCCGAACGGGGAGAGAATGGTGTAGAATAATATTAGTATTATTATTATTATTATTATTAGTATTGATTATTATTATTATTATTATTTTTATTTATCTTGGCTTGGTAGACAAGTCAAGGAGTAGGGTTTATGTGAGTGTTATTTAATGGACTCCACATCTATTATTTAGGGGAGTTGATTATTGAATGAAAAATGAGATTGTGAGTTTTATCGAGAGAGTATCTCGTTTGTTTATCTTTCCCACTCGTACGCTTCCCCTATATCAGTTGGTATCAGCAGTCAGTACGATTCGCCATGTCGTCGGGACGAGAAGATGCCGCAGGCGAACGACGTGACGCAACTTTCAACGATCGATTTCAACAGATCGACTATCGATTTGAACAATTGGACGTGCGTTTCACGGATTGGTTTGCCGATCTTTCGACGGGGATCGAGGATGTGCATTTGACGCTTAACAACGAGGTCTGGGATTTGCAGATGAACCGTGCCGCCGGCGACCGGGGTGTGCGCGGGGGAGTTCACGGAGGAAGTGAAGATCGTGGGTCCAGGCGGGGCGCCCCCTCGGCCATCTCCACAACCGCCGCCCGGCGATGCAGACGGCGAGGAGACCATATCGGAGGTGGATCCCTTCGAAGAGTGGCCGCCTCCGCCTGTCGAGACTGAGCTCGTTGCTGCGCACGACAACCAAGATGTGCAGCAACAGAGTGAGATTTTTGAGGATACGACGGTCCGCCTATTTTCGATGAGGAGCCTCCGGTGACGGAGATACATATTTGTGGCGATGTGGGACTTTCTGAAGGTACTGGAATCCCTAGGGTCATATTGATTAATGTAATTGGTGAGCTGGTGGAAGGAAAAACTACATTAGTGATGTCACATGTGGTTAAGCATGCTCCACCAAAGGTAATAACAAATTTAAAGATATTTGGTGAATTGAAGGAGGGAAGTATTGTCACGGGAGGAACTGAAGCTTCTAGCATAGTTCAGTGGTTCAATACCAGTTCGTCTATTTTTTTACGGTAAAAATGGTATTGAATTATTAAGTACATCCAAAATTGCCAAGGCATTTCTTATACCTCTGGGCGCAGTTGGCAATTATATAATTGCATCAATGACCCCGGATGGTTTTTCGCAGCCGAGGCCGGGTCTCAAACGCTGTTCGAACATTTTTCGACTGTTTGTACCAACGTCTTCCAACAACGGAATGTTTGGTCGTACGGCTGTTGTCATATCTCTCTCTCTTGAAAATCAAGAGAGTGTTGAACTGGTTGGGCGACATTCAACCTTCGTGTTCGACCGGGGAAAACAACGGTGGTTGCCTACCATGGGTTCGAACCACACGCCGGCCACGGGATCGCGTCGGCTTCGAGGGCGAATCCTTCCGAACGGGGAGAGAATGGTGTAGAATAATATTAGTATTATTATTATTATTATTATTAGTATTGATTATTATTATTATTATTAATTATTTTTATTTATCTTATCTTGGTGGACAAGTTAAGGAGTAGGGTTTATGGGAGCCTTATTAAAGGACTCCTCATCTATTATCTGGGATGGTTGATTTTGAATATGAAATAAGATTAGAGATTGTGAATCTTGCGTGTTTTACGAGAGAATATCTCGTTTACTCGTTTATCCTTCCCACTCATACGCTTCCCTACATCAGTTGGTATAAGCAGTCAGTACGATTCGCGATGTCGCCGGGACGACAAGATGCCGCAAACAAACGATGTGATGCAACCTTCAACGATCGGTTTCAACAAATCGACTACCGATTTGAACAGTTGGATGTGCATTTCACGGATTGGTTTGCAGATCTTTCGACGGGGATCGAGGATTTGCATTTGACGCTTAACAACGAGGTCTGGGATTTGCAGATGAATCGTGCCGCCGACGATCGGGATGTGCGCGGGGGAGTTCACGGAGGAAGTGAAGATCGTTGTCCAGGCGGGGCGCCCTGTCGGCCATTTCCACGACCGCCGCCCAGCGATGCAGACGGCGAAGAGACCATATCGGAGGTGGATCCCTAGTGGCCACCTCCACCTGTCGAGACTGAGCTCGTTGCTGCGCACGACAACCAATGTGCAGCAACAGAGTGGGATCTTTTAGGAAGATGACGGGCCATTGTACGACGGTCCGCCTATTTTCGATGAGGAGCCTCCGATGACGGAGACATATCTTTGCGGCAATATGGGTCCCGCGTGGGACGTCGCAGAAGTTGAGCCTTTGACGGGGATGCCGTTGTTCAAACCTGATTTTTGGAGTATCTTGGCCAACGATGGTTTTTTGGAGCCGAATCCGAGACTCAATAATTGGTGGGTCATTTTTCGACTGTCTATCGCGAAGTCTCTCAACAACGGGATGCTTGTCCGTAGTTATGGTTTTGAGCGCGGCGAACGATATGGTATGTTTTGTGTTAATTCAGTCGTGTGGTTATGCGTATAGAGGCGTGTACATGTGTCTTTCCAGCATATCATTACTTGCCCTAGATTATGTTTACCTTCGAGGTTAGTGTGCGACCTTCAACCTTCGTGTTCGATCGTGGGAAACGTCCGGGCTATTCCTGTTATGGAGACGTCTCCAACGGGAACGTGTCGAATTCGAGGGCAAATCCTTCTCAACCGGAGAAGAATGATGCAGAATAATTATGGTATTATTATTATTATTATTATTATTATTATTATTATTATTATTATTATTATTATTATTAGTTAGCTTAGAGAATAAACTAAGGTTTAGTTGAATAGTCTTATTTAAAGGGCTCTTGTGCGTTGTTAATTGGGGGAGTTGATTTTGAAATGAAATAAGAAATTGGTGAGTTTTGTTTTACGAGAAAGTATCTCGTTTACTTCGTTTATCATCTCATTCGTATGTTTTCCCTACATCACAAATCCATTTTTGCCATTTTAGAAATTAGCTCGTGTAACAGGGATTCTGGGGAAATCCCACATTTTAATTTTTCTCTCATTCTCTACCTGAAGAATGCTTCCTGATTGGCGGAAATCTCTACTTCCAAGTCAGTTCCTCCAAATCCAGGCGTCACTAAATTTTGGCTTTACCTCAAACAATCTTTCTTACAGAGTCAACTAGTACAACACCCATGTATTACATGGGTGGCGACGGTGCCTCGTTCATGGACGGATTCATAAAAGTGGGATAGGTATCCGGACAAGTCAAATCCAAGACCGTCCCGGCCGGCGCCCACCCTTACCATAAATAATCAACATATTATATATAATCCGAACCTAAATATATATGGATTAAAAGTAAACTAAATCTACCCAAGCCTAATAACGAAGCATGTATTTTTGCCACATAGGATCCCGAAGCATGCGAACCTACCACATAGGCTCAGCACGTTCTCAATTAATATATAGGGAGGGATTACATGCGGTATGATATTTGTATCTCTAACTAAATATGTTGTTAGCTTCATGTGTTGTCCAACTTTCATAAGTGATATATAATATCAATGATGCACAAATTAGCTCTTGTAGACCAGATCGTTTAAGCTACTTCTACATAATATATCTAAATTAGCTCTTGTAGATCAGATGCAGAAATTGAAGAAACAAAACTCAAATCTAGGAAATAGGAATTATGCATCAAAACCAGAATGAAACATCTGACAAATATTGCATACAAATAATAAATGCATGTAACAATTTATCCACTCATGATTCAATTACTCATACACCATCAAACAAAGAAAGCAGCTATCCCCTGCTAACATGTAATCAACAATCAGTCTACAAACTACAAACAACAAATCCAACAAATACTATGTACGCAAGCTACACAAAAGAGAAAAAAGAAAAATGGCAATCCATAATTAAAAAGAAAAAAGGAAGAGAGAAAAAAAATAATAAGAATCCTTTTGTTAGACAATGTAAAGAATCAACACTAAAGGACTATAATATTTTTCTGAAACAAATGTGCAGCTAGACCTGATAGGACCACAACAAGAATGGCCATGTATACACACACCCTCTTATTATTCCTATTCTTGTTCAATCTCTCAGCCTCGACCTGTGAAACTAAATTCGAGCTTTCGTTTGCCGAACAAGAAGCCTGAATCTCATCGTCATTTGGGATAGCATCCTTGGATAATTTCTCCACCTGATTCACATATTTCCAATGACAAGTTTGAAATGCAATTAACTTTCCAAGAAAGATAACCAAAATTACATTCCATTCCAGCTTCAAGTTGATACACAATAAAAGAGCAACTTTATCCACCCTAAAGAATATATTTTTATTTAGTAAACTATGCAAAAAAGTCCAAATTTTGTTTGGGCACACAACATTATCCAATTCAGAACTCAACATGGATAAAATTATGGAGACATAAAGGATATTATTTTGTAAGGTACTTAGAGAGAAACAAGCAAGAAAAACAGAAGCACCTTATTCTGAAGACGTTCCCTGTCAATCACAGTCTGCAAAGTCATCTGACTCATCTCTATTATCCGATTGCTCGTCATAACAATCTCCCTGTCACATGATTTTATCTCAAGAGTAGTTTGGGTCAAAGCATTCGCCAATAACACGACTCGGGAACTCACACACTCCAGTTCCTTACTAATATTTGAATTAGTCTCGGATAAAATCAAGCATCCATCCTCGAGTTTTACCTCTCCCTTAGCCAAGTTATGCTCCAGCTCGTCTATCAAAGTCTCCATGTCGCAAAGCGCCGAGTACAGCATGTTTTCCTGCTCCTGGCTGGCTTCCGATAATGCCCTCGATTGCTGAAGCTGAAATTCCAACTCTCTTAGCTCCTTTTCCAACATGCTCCACTTTTTCGCGTTGCTGTCGTTTGTGCCCTTGAGGAAATCGATCTTCTCCAAGAGCTCGGAGAAGATCGAGGCTTTCTCGTTTCTTTTCTCTCTCAAGGCCTCGAGTTGTGCTCGAGATTCGGATAAAAAATTCCTCAACGTTTTGCTTCCCATCCTCCTAAATCGGAATAATTAACAAAAACAGAGGAATAATATGTAACCTAAATCTCGATATTTTCTTCGCAAATTGGGATTAATACCTGCGAAGGGCTGTCTGGTGCGTAATTACAGAAAAATCAATATCAAAATATTGGAGAAGAAAAGAAAATAAAATATTGAAGAAGAAAGGTTTAAGAGAGTGAGAGCTGAAATTTGCGGCTAGGGCTTTTAGGAACTATTGATTTGGTTGCTTTTATAGAGAAGAGATATTGATTGATTAGAGAAAAACAAAGCTCTTCTTCTTCTTCTTCTTCTTCTTNGGAACATAAGAAAGACGGGAGACAATCCTTCTATAAGAAGGGTCCCGTCGACAATAAAGCCCGACTAGCTAGGTGATGGGCAACAAAATTCTGATTCCTATCAATGTGGTTGCAAGACCCGCAACGGAGATTCGACAAAAGCGGTAAAATGTCCGCAAAGACTCCATACAAGGCATCGTTGGGCGAGAGCTTAGACAAACCACAAATAACGACTAGGGCATTCGTCTTAGCATATTGGAGTGATACATCCGAATCAAGAGCAAAACAGAGTCCATACCTGAGAGTTAGAGCTTCGATTGTAACTGATGAAAAAGAGTCTGGGATACAAACTGCAAAAGCCGCCCAACACAATTCTTCTGAGTCGCCTATTCAGCCTCCCAAACCAATCGCCGAGTCTCATACCGTGGCATCGCAAAATAATATAAAACCATTATGAAAATTCCCGGGACCAACCCATCTATCGATAGTTGGTGTAAGCAAGACACGTTCTAGAGAGAGTCGGCCCGAACGCACTTTATTAGCTTCCTCTTGCCATGCGATCCCTGCTGTCCATGCTTGCTCCACCGTTTTGCCTAGTAATCCGTGTTTGATACGGTTCCGTTCATTACGACTCCATAAGAATTTTACTTGCACAGGGTATCAAACTTTATTACAATTTTTCAAAACTTTATTTTAATTCTATATTAGCCAGTTGACTCTTTCATATTAATATAAATAATGTAACATATATATTTATTTTATAATATAGAAAAAAATAATAATTTTACATATTTTGGTGCGAGTAAAAGGAAAGGTCGCTCTTTTCTAAAGACCGATTCCATAAGAATTTTACTTGCAGAGGGTATCGTACTTTACTACAATTTTTCAAAACTTTATTTTAAATCTATAATAGCCAGTTGACTCTTTCATATTAGTATAAATAATAATTTAACATATATATTTATTTTATAATATAGAAAAAAATAATAATTTTATATATTTTAGTGCATCATAATACTCAAATATTATTTTAATCAAAAATTTATTGTCATATAATGTCATTATTATTTATATCACTTATAGAAGTAATATTCTTTTTTTATATAATGATAAATATTTAATGTATATTACTATTATTTATTGATGTAATTAATTTAAAAATATATAAGCAAATTTAATGTTTGTTAGGAATGTGATCATATGTAAGTTAAGATAAAATAGAATGTATACAGAAAAAATCTGATTATGATATTTTCTTTAAATGTTTGAATGAATTTAAAATTCAAATTACAAATCAACCGTCAATTTTTCAAAGAATTTCAAAATAATTACCAATTGTAATAAATCCAAAATTTTAGGTGGGATTTTACTTTCTACTTAAAGTAAATCCCTATTGTTGCCATCTAGCTTTTCTCTCTCTAAAAACCCTCGCTCCCAAATCTCTTCCGTCTCGTCGCTCCAATTTCAAGCCGTCGGCCTTCCATAGTTGCCATCTAGCTTTGCCGGCGGTCGCCGGCCCTTGGCCGTTTGGCTCCCCCCTTATATTTTTCTGCTCCGCTACTTGTCTTCCATGGCGCCAGGCCTCGTCTGTTGCAATCGGAGCTCGTCTTTTCTGGCGCCGACTCGTGATTTCAAGGTGGTGCCGCCTAGGTCGGGCGGTGGTGGAGCCGTGGAGCGGTTCTGGGGGTGGGATGCGCCTCAATTGCTCGGCGACCTAATTGTTTGGGCGATTAGGGCATGGCTGCGGTTCGACATCGTCTCCCCGCTGTTCTTGGCTTTTGAGGCGTAGGGGTCGTCGAGTTCCTTTCTCTGCCAGTGGTGTTGGTCGGAGTGGGGATGCGGCGGTGCGGTGGCTGAGGGCAGCTTCCAGGCGGTTTGGGGTTGGGATTGGGGCCGTGGCACTTTTGTCCGTTTCGGGGGAATATGATGTTGCGGGCCTGGTTCGGGGTGGATTGGTGTTGTTCCGGGGTTAGGGTTTCGACACCGTTAGGCAACCGAGTGGTTTTGGGCAGTTTCGGGGTCGATACATCTGGCTGCGGGATTCACCTTCGCTTTGTTTCCGCTGGTTCGGTTTGATGTTGCTACTTTGAAAGGGCTCGATTAGTTTTGTTGTTTTTGTTTGTTTTCTTTGGTAGATCTGTGTTTTAGTTGGTTATTTAGGTTGTGTGGTCTTTGTGTTTTTGGTCTGGGCCGTTGGCCTCAGTTTGCCCGAGTGTCACATTATTATCCTGTTGGGATCCGACACTTGGGCATTACCCTGTTGGGGTCTGTGTAGTTTGTTAGTTGTGCTTGTGTTTTACCCTGTTGGGGTCTTTGTTTTACCCTGTTGGGGTCGGTTATTTAGGCGGTCCTTGGACCTGTCCTCCCACTTTTTCAGCTGTTGCCTGCTTGTATTCAGCTGTTAGCTGTATGTATTCAGCTGGTGGCTGACCTTTTGCACATTTGTGCTTGTTATATAATATCTCTATCGTTTCGGGAAAAAAAAATCCCTATTGTTACTTTATATTAATAGATTGTATTG